AAAATTTGTACAATCAAAAATTTTGAATTGCCATGCAGCGGGCATTTTGAATAGAATTCAAAAGGAAAAGAAAAAAAACCGACCTGGGTCCCTCTGGACGAGTGTTATATCTTCCTCTTTCTCCTTTATTCCCGACATCTGCATGGTATCGAGAATAAAGGAGAAAGAGGAAGACATAACACTTGTCCAGAGGGACCGAGCTCGGTTTTTAGAAAGTTTTCCAAAGGAAAATCTCCTATTAGATTTGTTCTGATTAGTGCAATAGAGGTTGGGACATGCATAGTTTTTTTTCATGACCTCCTGATTCCAAAAATACCCATCTCGCAATTTGGTGCATCCTTATTTATTTATTTATTTATTTGTTTGTTTATGGGGGGGGGGTGTGTGTGTATGTATTCGCGGATTTTTGGAATCAAAACTGAATAATAGAGGAACCAAACGACCAATAGAGATGAAATTCCTACTGAATATGTAAAAAACATCAGAGAATTCAATTTTTCAAGTCCCATGTCGCTATCTTCTCTCATTGCTGAGAAAATTCGTTGTAATCGATGAAAATCATCGAAAATTGATTGCTCTTCGCTGCAGGATCTTCTACCGCATGGAATTGCACAAAATTTTAATGGAAGGTCAAGTGTGGCCCCATTAAGTGCTGAGTGAAGTTTGTTGATGATCGGTTTTGTGGTCGCTGAGATATTAGCAAAAAACTGTTGCATTTTTGATGATTTTGATTGATTCCGTTAGGCTCATAACACACAGACCGAACGACTAATAGAGATGAAATTCATATTCAATAGGTAAAAGAGGTCGGAGAATTCAATTTTTCATCCCCCCAATCTCTATCTTGTATAGTTGCTGAGAAAAGTGTCAAATTGTGTGAAAAACATCGAAAATTGATTGGGATTCTATGCAAAATTACGGAAAACCTTCTCCTCTACCGCAGGCACTGCGGGAGAATTTTTCTTCTTTTCCTTTTGAATTCTATTCGAAATGCGCGCTACATGGCAATTAAAAATTTTTGATCGCACAAATTTTTCAACCCAAAATCGTACTCACTGCTGGTTGTAGGACAAAATGGCCAACTTGGTGGAACAATTTTGGGGGAAAATTTAGCAGCCAGATATTTGTCAAGGCTTCAAAATTTTTTGTTGTAATCGGGACTACACTTATGGCCCACCCTGTACTTTACAAGAGAGGCCTTCAGAAAATCGTCTTAAGCGGGAAATTGTATCAAGTGGGAAAATACAGGAAAACCTCAGAAATGCAATTTAATATCCACAGTTTAGAAAAATAGAGCAAAAATTGTTATCAAGTAGAGTACGTTGCCCAAGTCCAGTGTTTGGGTTTTAATTTGTAAGATTTGGCGGGAGACTGACCAATTTGATATTTTGCAGTGGAGTTTTCGGGTAAGCTCGACAATTACCAATGAATAACAAAATTTTTCAGTCTTTTTTTTCAAAAATATTATTTTTAACCAGTTTTAAGAATCTCGGAAAAGTGGAGTGTATTAAACGGGTTTTACTGTATTTTTATTAAGAAAAAAAAGGCATTGAAAATGAAAATAATCAGTCCATCTCACCAGAGAATGCAATTGAAGGGTTAGTTTAGAAAACCACCTTAGTCCAAAACACGTATTTTGCAGGCGAGAGAAAAAAACATTTTTTTATACTCTCAAGAAACTAGGTGGAATGGAAGAAAGTGATTGGTGGGGTTCTCGAATGCCTGTAGAATACGTTTCCTTTACCTCCATCCCCAAACATGGTCGATTTGGCTCCAATATACGCACTCCAAGTTGTCAACTTCTGGACTAAGGTTGTTTTCTAAAATAATTTAGGAAACCTTAACATTGGACTAAGGTGGTTTTCTAAAAAAAATACGAAAATAAACTACTTTTTAACGGGCTTATCCGGCTTATTTTTCTTTAGAAAAACAACCGTAGTCCAGGACTAAGGTGGTTTTCTAGAAGCAATGTCCACATACTGACGCTTTTTTGGGTGGACTAAGGTTGTTTTCTAAAGTAATTTTAAAAACAGTGCACTGGACGATGGTTGTTTTTTTTTAAAATCCTTGTTTCATGCGTTTTGCCTTGTTAGAGGGGGGTTTCCACAAAACTAGTGGTACCATCGAATCCGGCGTGAAATTTACTTTAAGATGGTATTCTTATCTCAAAATTGTAAATTTTGGACTAAGGTGGTTTTTTAAACCAGCTCTCCAATTCAACTTTGGTAGGCACAGATGTGAAAGAGGTAGTGTTTCTTTTCGTCTGTACCCATCAAATTCAAGTAGCAACAGTCTGCTTTCTGATGAGATGGATATAGTTCGTCCTTGGTAAGGAAGATACACTTTTAAAGCAAGCAATAAATGACTAGCAAAGATTTTCATTTTCCTCTAATCACATTGCTCCCAATCATGGAATAAGTAGCAAATCCAATAAAACGGAGCATAAAGAGGAAAAAACTCACCTTAGTTATATCGCAGCTATTATTATCCAGATGATTATGTTTAGCACCATTCACAGTCTGAGGAGGCAATTGCTTGGGCCCGTTGGTCACGTTGACCTTGGCTGCGTTCGCGGCCATCATCTGAGGGTCCTGATTGACGCTGATGCTGCCGCCATTGTTCAAGTTATTCTGGCCCAGTACAGCACCACCGGCACCCAGCGCCGATGAGCGAACTACGACGGACGCCGGTGCATTGCCGACCATCCCATTATTTCGAGGAGCATTCGCAACGTGGACAGCAGCAGCCGAATTCGTCCGTGCCATACTGAAATACGAAGAAATGGGCGAAAATTAACATCAAAGAAAGAAGATAGGATGAAGGGGTGGGCAGAGTGCATCGTAGCTGCTGGTAAATTCAGACATATAACACTGCTGCGTAAAATTGCAGAAGCAATTTGCCAAATTGATGGCTGTATTATGGCAGTACGGTATTGTGGCAGATGGTCGTCAAGAGAAACTAAACGTATAAATGTTATAATATCAAAAAATTGCCATTTGCAGTCCTCCGTGGTCGCGGTTTTATGCACACCAACGCCCACCGACCACAGAGCAGTCACATACGATCGAATTAGACCGCAAAGAAAGTCGACCTGGACGACTATTTTGGGCACCCAGTACAATAGAAGCTACTAAAATTGGATGGAGTGACAGACATCACTAGGGGCCCCTCCGATAGACGAATTCTAATCGCATATAATTTGGCAATTAAATCGTTCACACTAACAATAAAACGGATTCGCAAATAAGTCTACTGTTTTAGCAGCTCGATGTCTCTGAGCGTGTGCACCCATCGCATCGAAACTGCAGGCTCGTTTTCTCGAGTCACGTGGGCTGTACTATCACTTATAAAACGTACGAGTAGAACAATGAAAGGAAAATTTGACTGTAGGTGATGTAGGTGGAGCACAGCCAAATGCATTAGGTGCATTCGTTTAGCCAGTAGATTCCTGGGTTTGATTCAAAACTGATTTTCTTTAGTTTCGAATTGATTCGAATCGAATTCCAACTGAAATGTATAAAATCGTTCCCTATTTATTTAGTCTCAAAAATTTACAACTTCTATTTGAGTAATAACACGCGAGGAGTCAAGAATCAAAATCTGTTCTCAGAAGTTACTTGGAAGTGGATTCATTGAATAGAGAATCCGTATCCAGAATTAGCTTCTGTTTTGACGAAACAAATATTCACGGATTCGAATCTGGTGGTAACATAAATGCACAAATATGAATTGATTAGAAATGAATTTATGAAATTGTGACTAAACAAACACGCTACTCATTTTCACTGATTGGGTCAATGGATATTATCACATTGGAAAAAATAAAGTCCAAAAAAAAAAAAAGATAGAACACAAATCCAAATCTTTTGATAAAACAGTAAGTATTTTTAGTTTGCTCTCAGATTTATGAATGTGATTTAAAACCAATTTCTTCAAATTCAGTTTCAATTCTTTCTATTTTGAAATAGACTCTCAAGTCTTGATCCTTTCGCTACCAAGTTATTTTTAGCATGTCCATCACATAAACCACAGTAATGGGATTCAAATCCAGTTATTTCAAATGTGAATCTAAATTTTCTAAGAAAAAAGAGATTCCCGCACAAATCTGCATCCGCAACAAAAAATCTAAAACTAATAAATCTGAATTCTGCCTATTCGTGGTTTGAGACAGGTCTCAACGAATCACCACGTGTCAATACAGAGTTTGAAGCCAGATAGACGGTATAAGTAGGTACCCAAAGATCCTGTCTGTTATTGTGATAGTTGATGACTTTCAACTAAGATGAAAATGATTACAAAATTTACAGTAACGTATAATACTTGACATAACTTGTTCACAGAGGATGACGAAACATAAGTACGATGGGATAGTTTTCGAAAATGATTAAAAGTGGAGAAGAGAATTTAATTTATAATTAATTTTGGGTAGGTACGTATGACAATACCTTAATTACAACTAACCACACATACAATTATTTTCGGATGAATCATTTAATAATGCACAATCAACAATACGGTCGAAAATCACAAATTTGCCAGAAAGTAACAGAGTAATAAAATTAGTTTTATTTCGGAGAAGTTTTTCCAAACCCAGAACATTGTATAAATTGTAAAGATTTTTGTGCATTGAGAGTATATCTGTGACGCAATCAGACGAATCATAGCCTAAGTCGGAAAAAATTTTTTCAGTTTTCATGTTAGGTCGATTGACCACATCCTCACTTTTCCAACGAGCCCTCCCGCAGCTCTCTAGCTCATTTTGAACAATATTTATGGCCACTTTTAACTCAGAAACGAAGAGGTGGTAAAAATGAAAAAAGCAAGAAAATAGCATTTCAAAGTTCAACTTTCAATGGTTTTTCCTCAATTTTGCAACATTCTGATTCGTAATTAAGACTCATTTGATCATTTTTCACACTCTGCCACATTTCCAAGTAAAAGATGGATACTAAGAAAACACATTTCCGCAAAAAAAAAAATTGGTCATTTTTCAAAATTTTTTACATTTTTGTCTGTTTTGAGAAATTTTGTTTTCTGACTTAGGCTATGATTCGTCTGATCGCGTCACATATTCAAAATACTTCGAAAGTTGTCTCGAAGGACCAAGAGTAACCCCCCCCCCCCTAAAAAAAGAGAAGAGTTTTATCCTCAAAGAACCTCTTTCAAAAATTATTTGATTTCAAATTGCACTATTAGTTTTAAAATATATACCATCATACCTAAAAAAGCGAGTAAGTCGAGTATCTAATCTAAAGGGCAAAACAAATGTAATTTTAATTTTCATAAACTACATATACAGACACGTGGGAAAACTGGTCAAATAATATAACTTTTTTCGCTTATGCAGGAGACTGTTCAAACGGATTTTGCAATGACAAAATTTAAGTACTGGAGGTTTCTGCTATCAGATGATATCCAGTATATGGGTTATCAGCTATTAGGGAAGGTACCAAGACAAGAGCTATTCTAAATTAAGGAAATTTTTGCACAATCAAAGTAAACATGATCAGAATTTGACAGTATTCGTGACATTATACACTTCAAAAACTGTCTCAATGTACATAAATGTTTGTTTAGCCATCAATTCATGAATCTAATTCGTATCAGATACAATTTTTGTGTTTGTTTCACCTCCAAATTCAAATCTGCGTGTTAGTAGTTTTGTCAAAATAGATAGATTCTTAACTCAATTTCTGATTGATTTCTCAGAAAAGTGAATCTACTTTAGATTAGGTTCTGAAAGTGAATTCAGTCTCTTTTTATCATTTCATTGAGAATTTTGTATTTAGATATCGATAAGATCCACCGAGAATCAACAAATCGGCTTACCACACA